TACTTGGAAGGCTGAAGCGGAAGGATCACCGGAGCCCAGCAGGTCGAGGCTGCGGTGGCTAGGAGCGGCCACTGCACTCCAGTTTGGGCGACAGAGTGAAACTCCAACTAAAAAACAAAACAAAACAAAAAAAAACCCACCAATATTGAGAGCCTAGTTCATGCTAGGCATTTTGCTACACACATTCCATCATTTAACGCATATAAACTCATTACCCTCTCTAAGGTAGGAAGTATTACAAAGAAATGTGTCTCAGAGAGGGGAAGGCATTGCTCCAAGATCACACAGCTGACAAACAAAACTGGAATTTGAACCCAGGTCTGTCTGTATAATTTTTTACAAAGCCTAACTTTTCTATAAACTCATGTTTTTGTGTGTATGTGTGGGTTTGTTTTTTGTTTTGTTTTGTTTTACCATTTTGAAGCAGGATGTACATATTTTATTTATTTGTTTGTTTTTCTGAGTTGTAGTCTCACTCCGACACCCAGGCTGGAGTGCAGTAGCACGCTCATGGCCACCCCAGCATCGACCTGCTGGGCTCAAGCGATCCTTCTGCCTCAGCCTTCCAAGTAGCTGAAACTACAGGCACGCACTATCACACCTGGCTAATTTATTTTTATTTTTATTTTTTGTAGAGACGAGGTCTCACCATGTTGCCCAGGCTGGTCTTGAACCCATGGGCTCAGGCAATCTTCTCACCCTGGTCACACAAAATGCTGGGATGACAAGCTTGAGCCACTGCGCCCAGCCTTATTTTATTTTTTAAATAGTCAAGATTGAAATGCACTGTATACAACGCTGCCTCTTTCCTATTACATTCCTTTTTCTGTACACTCTATAGGATTCCATCACAGGGTCCTCTAGATAGAATTCTGATCGGCTGGTGATCCTTAGAAATAGTCCATTTGTTCAGATGAAGATGTGAACTTTCCTTGAAAACTGTGTTTGATTTTTCTGCACTGAGTAAGATAAATCACTGCCTTTATGTAACCTAAGCCCTTTCTCATTGGTGCAAGTCTTCACAGCTTTCAATTATATTTCCAAAATAGAAGGCTATTCTGGAAAGCATAAAATAGTTGCTGATATCATCGCAAAAGCCAGAATAAATGATGGGACAGAGATGTAGAGTGGAGAGAGGCGGACTTTGGAATCACGGTCTCAGGGTCAAGTTCTGGATGGGATGTTAAATAACTACAACCTTGGGCAACTCGTGTAACCTGCAGAGCCTCAGATTCTTTCTATGCAAACTGGGGCATGTACTACTGAGCTGGAAGTGTTGTTTATGAGGACTCAGGGGAATATATATCTAGAGACGGCATGGCACAAGTAAGTGTGCAGCAAATCATAGCTATTTTGATGCTGCCAACAGGAATACATTAACAAGGGCCCGATGCATATGCTGCTGACAGGCAGCATATTAAAGTCAGCACTGTTGATTTATCGTTCCTTAGCAAAAGTGTTCGTAAGAAAAACAAATATTGGAGTCATTTGATTTCCTTCGAAACTCATTTAGAGGAAATGATCAGGAAAGAATGAGAGAAAACACTCTCATTGCATCTTTAGTTTTTGACTCCTATTTTTTTTCTTTCATACATAGTATTTCTTTTAATTTATAGAGAACCTTTGTTTTGGTCACTAAATAGTTCACAGTTCTTATTTTTTCCGTTTGTAAGGACCAAAGCTGTCTGTGAGCTTTAGTGTCCTTTTGCATTTCATTGTCACTATCTGCCCCCATTTGTTCTGGATTACCTTCTCACTCCTCTATCCTCTCAGCTGCTTTTGTCATTTCCCTTCCTCTGTTTTTCATACCCCATGAGGAAGTCTGTATGGGAGACCACAGAATTCCAGACGCTTTCTTTCTCTTTAAGCTGCCAGTTCCCCAGTAGGGTCAGGGAAATCTTCAGCGCCTCAGATGAGCAGCTTAAAGGCCCTGACCAAGTCAGTAGAGATTTGGATTCTGCGGCTATTAGGACAAGCTTACGATCTGTCAGCCCTGTGCCCAGTGTTTCTATACAAGTTTTCTCATGAAATCTTCACAGCAGCCTAGGAATGATAATGGAGATTTGAAGAGTCCCAGAATGTGGCCATGGAGACTCGGCCAATATGCAGTGACTTGGTCATTCATTGGACAAATATATATTGACGGTCTATGGTGTGCCATCATCCTAGGCTCTGTGGGTTAACAACCATCAAAATAATGTTCCTGCCCTCTTGCACCCATGTTCTAATGGGGATGGGCAGACGCTAACAAGTAAGTGTATGTGCTGAGTGGTATTAAGAACCACAGAAATATAAATCACCCCAGGTAGTGCAGAAACTCCAGGAGGGTGCTGGAAGGAGGCTCTCATTGTATTGTGAATGGTCAGGGAAATTTCATAAAATGAAATTTCGGCAGAGACCCGAAGGAAGCAAAAGAGAGAGACAGATCAAGAGCTGCAGGCAGAGGGAAAGTGACCACAAAGGTCCTGAGGCAAGAGGCTCTGAATGTAAATCCTGGAGGGCCTTGTAGACCTCTGAAAGGATTTTAGATTTTACTCTGCTGACAAGGGAAGTCATTGAAGGATTTTGAGTGGATGAACATCATGATATCATTCAAATTTTCAACAATTTCCTCTGACTTCAATGCAGAGAATTTGGGGGGCAAGCAATGTGGGAAGCTAAGAAATTAGGAGGTTCTTGCAGTAGTCTTCATGAAAGAAGACAGTGCATGACCAGGGTGAGGGTACTGGAGGGGCTTAGAAGTGAATGGATCCTGAATGTAAACTGAAGGCCAAGCTGGCAGAATTTCTGAAGGATTTGGGTGTGGTGCGTCATTCGAGAAAGAGAGGAGTTCAGGACCGCAAGATTTCTGGCCTGAGACAAATGGATTTCTGTTTGTTGCAGCAGGAAGTTTACAGCACAAGCAGGGTCAGGAAAAGCAAGGAACTTCATTTAAGGCATGTTAAGCCAAGAGAAACAGTTACATATATGAGTCTGGAGTTCTGGGGAGATCTCTGGATCCAGGATGTAAATTTGGGAAGTATCAGTATGCAGATGGTTTTTAAAGTCAAGAAATATGGTCAAGCACGGTGGCACACACTTGTAATTCCAGCACTTTGGGAGGCTGAGATGGGAGGACTGCTTGAGCTCAGGAGTTCAAGACCAGCCTGGGCAACATAGTGAGACCCTGTCTCTACAGATAATAATAATGACAAAAATATCAATAATAATTATTTAATTAAAATTTTAAAATTAAAAAAAGCCAAGAGACAGGATAAGATGGCTAGAGCAATGGGTATAGGAGGAAGAGTTGAGTCCCTGAGCATGCCAATATTTAGTAATCTGGGAGATGAGGGGAAACCAGCAGAACCTTACTCCTAGGTCAAGTTTTCAGTTCATTTACTAGTTTGAGAAGGAGCAGTCAGCAGGTCAGAAGAAAACCAGAAAAAAAATCGTGCCAGAAACCAAGTGAAGAAAGAATCCCAAAAGAAGGAGGTGGGTCACGGTCACCACTAAATGTCTCAGATAGGGTCAAGTTAGATGAAGACTGAGGAGCGACCATTGGATGTGGCAATGTAGGGATCACTGGAGACACTGACAAGAGTGACTTTAGGGCACGCTAGAGTCCCCCAAAATAAAAAAAAAAAGATTAGAAGAAAAGGGAATGGTTTGGGGTAGGTTCCTATAAAGGTGAAAAATTGAGCAACTGCTAGAAAGAGAAGCAAAGTTAAGAGAGGAGTTTTTTCTCCATTTTTTGTTTGTCTGTTTGTTTGTTTAGTCAGGTCTCACTCTGTCCCAGGTTGGAGTGCAGTGGCACAATCACGGGTCACCACAGTCTCTACTTCCTGGGCTCAGGCCATCCTTCTATCTCAGCTTCCTGAGTAGCTGGAACCACAGGTGTGCAACACCACACTCAGCTAATTTTTAAAATTTTTTGGTAGAGACAAGATCTTGCTGTGTTGCCTAGGTGAAGAGAGGGCTTTTTGTCTCACTCTGTTGCCTAGGTGAAGAGAGCGACAAATCAGCATGTTTTACACTGATGGGAATGAGCCAATAGAGCAGAAAGAAATGATGATCCAGGCAAAAGGAGGAATTGAGATGAAGGACATGGAAGAGGGAAGTGATGGCGCTCTATGCACGGGCAGAGAAGGGGCCAGAGGGACCAGGGAGGGTTGATAGCAGCAACTGGAAGTGGAGGGGTGACATGACTCAGTGAGGTGGGTGACAGGAGGATGCACAAGCCCTCCCCGGTCTCATTTTTTCACTCCGTGAATTGGGAACCAAGGTCAAGGGCAGAGTGAGGAAGGGTGAGTGGGGAAGGAGAAGCTGTACAACAGTCCACCCTGAGCTGGATTCCAACCAGGGTCATCCAATTTTACCGGTACAGTAAAGCCAGGATCCTGCGGACAGGAGGTCTGGCATTCCTCCTTTTCCTCTGGTACTTTTCAACACTAGTCCTGAGGTCGGCAGGTCATCATCACAGCCGGCCTCCTATCTATCCATCGCAAGAACGGTCTTTCATCGATTTCAAAATGCCTGACTTCTTCATTGTTCTTTGTCTGCCAGGGACCCCTCACGGCCAAAATGAATCCCAGGGAGGAAAAAGTAAAAATAATTACAGAGGTAAGTGGCTGCTTAGATGGCCCCTTGGGATATGTTTGTGTGTGGACGCCCATGTTACATGAGTTTGTGCTTGAGGACATTAGGTCAGCATCAAGCATTTATTGCACGTGTTATAAGAAAAACTTTTGGCAGACAGACAGCTCTCTCTTTCTGCTGTCCTGCCTGCTGTTCCTTTGCAGCGCACTTAATATACCTGTTCTTCTATTCTTAAAATGAAAGAAAGAAAGAAGGAAGGAAGGAAGGAAGGAAGGAAGGAAGGAAGGAAGGAAGGAAGGAAGGAAGGAAGGAAGGAAAGAAAGAAAGAAAGACAGAAAGAAAGACAGAAAGAAAGAAAGAAAGAACAGAAAAATTTTAGATGAATTAAATTCAACAGAGTTTAAATAACTTGTGAATGGGAGGGCCATCAGAAAGCCAGAAGAGTTTCAGAGAGCTCTGCTCTGCAATGTGTGCAAGCAGCTTCCATGGAAAGAAGGTGTGTGCTAGAAGAGGTGACTTAATCCTTCTACATCTCTTTCTTTCCACATATAGAGTGTGCAATAGGCCCCTAGAATAAAGAAATCTGTTTGGGTGTAAGTAAATATGCTATATCAGGGGGCAGAAACAGCTTGATCAGTTAACGACTGGGGACTGAGTGTTGCCTTATTTGAATGCACGTTCTGGTCTGTTGACCACCTGTGGCTGGCTAGAACTCAGCTGCTGTGATTGGCTGAGTTACAGCTATTTGCTACAAAAGTACACTCATCAACGAGGTTTTCAGTTAGTTTACATACTAAAACTCAAAGTGTGGAAGCACCCTCAGGCCAAATTTAGTTTAGTTAGCACACACCTACTAAATGGACACTAAGGGTGCTGTATCAGGCTCAAGGTGGAGAAAGGGAGGGAGGGGGAGAGAAGCGAGGGGGGTGGGGAACAAGGGGAGTTGGGTGGTGGGGGGATCAGCCACTCTACAAGCTCTCTGCATTCTTGCTTCCACCTGAATAACCTGAAGTTGTTTTGTCACCATTTCCTGAATCCCCACACACAGCAGCGCCAAGTTCCTACCTACCACTGGGCCCAGCCCTGCCTGAAGCACACTGATTTCCAAAGAAATTCAGAATAAATGTAACAATTGTAGATTCTAACTGTTAATAAAACTTCATTCAGTGGTGGCTCACGCCTGTCATCCCAGCATTTTCGGAGGCTGAGGTGAGAGTATTGCTAGAACGCAGGAGTTCAAGATCGGCCCAGGCAAGATAGCAAGACTTCATCTCTACAAAAAATAAAGAAAAAATTAGCCTGGCATGGTGGCACATGCCTGTAGTTTCCCAGTTACTTGGGAGGCTGAGGCAGAAGGATCACCTAAGCCCAGGAGGTCAAGGCGGCAGTGAGCTATGATCTACCCTGTACTCCAAGCCTGGGTGACAGAGAAGTACCCAGCTGAAAAACAAAAACAAAATAAAACAAAAAGTAAAACAACAAAAACATCCATTCAATTTCTTAGTGTGCAAAAACACACTAAAACCAGGGAAGGAAGGCTGCCTACAATTTGGAGACGGCAGACCAGAAAAGAAGAGAGAGTATGCCTTTCAGTCTTCATCTCCCTAGGCTCAAGGTCTTACCAGTTGGAGATCACAGAGAAAGAAATGGAAACAATGTGCTGTTTCCAATGTAATACTTCGAAAAGCCTGAGGAAACTCATTATAAAACCATGCAGATTTTTGGTAACTTCAAGAAAGATATTCAGTACTGACAAACCACATAAATCTCTGTTTGCTGATCCGTTCGTGCAGCAAATGTGCTTTGTGTCTCTAATCCCTAAGGATACGGCAATAAACAAACCCTCCCTCACCTTCACAGAACTTACTTACATCCTGTCTTTCCTGAAGTCCCACTCGAGAACTTTTTACACATTAAGGATCAAAACATTACTGGAAAGCAAAAGATTACCTATATTTCTCATGAGTCAACTTCAAGTCAATAAAAAGTTTGGAAGTTAGAATTAAGAACCTTATTTGCACACACTTGCACATCTTGCTATTATTATCACCTTGTAATCTAGGTTAGTGAATCCCTGAGCTAAGAACACCCCATCTGGCAGGCCCTGAAGAAAAAGGCCAGAGTTAGGATGTTATATCCACTCAAGGGATGGGTCAGAGGGATCAAGTCACACAGGCCAAGGAAAAGCTCAAATCTGGCCCACCAACTTTGACTGGGACAAAGTTCCCTCCTCTGTCATTGAAGTTCGTGTCTTCCCCAAGTCCATGACCAAGGAAAGTAAGGAGTAGTCGAGGTCTGGCCCAGTAACATGCATGACATTTCTTCGAAATCTTTTATCTTTAAATCCATGCTCTGTGTTCCAACTTTTTGTCTGATAAAAACAAAAACATTCCCAATTTTTAAAAAATCTAATAAATTTGGAATACTAGAGAGCGAGTCTGTGTTTATCTTGCAACTTCTTGTTCACCCAGAGGTACATGCACCTCAGGTCATAAAACTGTAAGACTAGAAAACTTCACAGCTTGAAGACTTTAAAGCTGTCCACACTAATTTTTCATAACTAAGTTACCAGAAAGTGTAATATGTAAAGTATGAACTATAAAAAGGTCTGCTAAAATTTCCTTTCAGTTGAAACTTTCACTGTGATTTAACACGTGTCACCATTATTCCACACCTACTGGTAAGGCAGGAAAACAGAAAAAACCTAACCCGTAACATCCCAAATATAATGCTGAAGTCTGTCTTGGGATACGGTTCTCTGTCCTAGCAGGAGCCTTTCTTAGATTGTGACTTTTAAGAGCAGAGAGTGTGTTGTATTCATCTCTGTGCCCTACGGCCTGAAATATAGTAAGTGCTCAATAAATGTTGTTTGCATCAAGGAGAACCTGTAACAATAGAGGCTCCCAACATCATCTCATTTATGATGTTCTAATTTGGATACAACTTTTCAAGAACATGTCTACTTTGAGAAGAGTGGATGGCAGTGGCCGCTCAGATTGGGTTAACTTTCCAGTCACTCAAACTCTGCGTTGCTGATTGGCGGCCCAGGGTCAAGATGGAAATTTTAATTTTAATACCTAAAAATCATACCCTTTTTTCTCTCTTAATATTCTGTCCTTTTTAAATTTTGCATTTAAATAAAGGAGTTCACTGAAAATGACGAGGAGGCAGATGCAGGAAGGCAGAAGAAGAAATCTAAGGGTCAAAGACAGCAAAGAAAAAAGCAGGTAGGAACTGACAAAAAACTGTGTATTGTGTGACATTGATCAACAACCTGCCTGCAGCACCAGGAGGCCACACAGATACCCAGGAAGACGTCCCTCTTTGGGTACCAAGTTTTGGCCTGCTGGCGGACTCTGTAACTGGGATGCTGCTGGATGGCCCAGGGTGTAAGACCCTGGTATGGGGGCTTATAGGTGACCCCCACAATAAGGCTGCAGTCCATACTCGAGGCATTTTTCTCTATCTCCTGAGAGAGATGTCTTGGTTTAACAGAAGGAGCTGGTTTTAGTGTTCGCCCTGAAGGCCATAAACTACGACAGGCAGTAGATGGCAGTGCAGGATCGCAGGTCGTGAGGAATTCCCTCTTTCTCGAACTTCCAGCTCGAATTCTGCCTTAGTGTAAATCAGGCCAACTCCCATCTCCTGAGCCTGCTGGCAAGTCCTCCCCCACCTCTCCGCTGGAGCTCCCCTCCTAGCCAGGAGCATCCTGTGCAAGGTTAACCTTTTCCAGGTAAGGCCTAAGGAGCTGGCCCCTGAGGAGGGCAGCAGGGGTGGGGCTCTCATGGCAGGGCGATTTGCTTGGAACAATCGAGATGCCAGCAGGGGCGGGAGGGGTGGGCAGCGCCATTTTGAGCTAGCAGTCACGTGAAGGGACTAATGGAGATGGGTGGCCAGGGGAAGCGGGGAGGGTACAGGGACGGCCAAGTCAAGGAAGGGACCTCCCTCCCGGCTGCCCGCTGGCCCTGCACACTCCCATGGGGGGAAGGCTGGGCCAGGGAGTGCCCTTCAGCCTTTCCTACTGCCTGGATGAAGCTGCTCAGGGGAGGGCCCAAGGGCTGGGAGGGGCAGCTGGCCACGTGGGCCAGTCTCTCCAGCCACTCTTGGGATGCGTCCAGCCGGACACAGCCAAAGTTGAAATCCCTCCTGCAGGTTCCGTCTGTAGCCCCAGGCTGAGGGTGGGGGAGGAGGGTGTCATGACCAAGGTGTCGTGAAAAGCATTCAAGTCTCAGCTCTAGAGTCACAGGCACAGGCTGTCATGGAGCTCAGACTGAGAAGGAGAAAAAGGAAGGGATGGGGAAGGGGAGATGATAGCTCGGAATTGCTGAGCATGTATGGGCCAGGCTTGGGACTTAAAGTGTCATCTCTTTGGGGACATCACAAGAATCAGTGTTTCTTAACACAGGCTGCACTTCAGAATCACATGAGGGATTTTAAAAAACAAGATGCTTTTAATAAGATCCACCTCAGGCCGTCTATCTAAATCAGAATATCTGTGCTTTGCACAATGCCTCAAACATAGTTATCATCTCAGGGAGCGGGCTCTTTTTATTTTCCTTATTGTAGAGATGAGAAAGCAGTGTACAAGGAAGTTAAGTCACTTGCCCAGAGTCCCACAGTCAGAATTTGGAGGCAAGCCTCAGCCCGTCTGGCCGCAAAGCATGATTGCCAATTCTGCTTGTGTGTTTTCCTCCCCTGAGAGTTTAGGGAAGGAACCAGAGGCAATTTTGGGGGGTACATATCCAAAGGATGGACTCAATATTTGTTCTGGATTAACCAGTGATACTTTAGCTGCTGTTTTCAAACTATTCAGAGTTGGGAACTAGTTGTTTGATTGTGATTTTCCTGTTTCCTTGTCCTCCAGATATCTGCAGAGCTCTACATATTTTACCCAGAAAAAGTGAAAATAAGCATGTTATTTGGGGGTGCCGTGATAATTTCACATGAAAATTTCTAGAGAAACTTGGGGTTGGCACCACTTCCCAAGGGGTTGCCCACAGTGACACAGGTGACAAGGACCACAGTTATCCAGATCCAAATAGTTCTAAGGCCCATCCTCTCACTGGTGACACATTCCTGAGTCCAAGAAAGCACTGGGTATCTCTGAACCTCTGACCTTCTTCTCACAGCTGCTGACTGCTGGTCCTGAGGAAATGGTGTCTGAAAAATCCCACGTTGGCCACCAGCAAGACCCCAGGCAGGAGGAGTCCGAGAGCCACCTTCTGAGTATGACGGCCAGGCGGGGCCCACGGAGTAAGTGTCTCTCTTCCATTTAGCTGGTACTTACTGATAGCCTGCTGTGAGCTCAGCACAGAGCAATATGGGTTTTTTATTTTTTTATTTTTTTTATTTTTTGAGTTACAGTCTCACTCTAACTCAGACTGGAGTGCAGTGGCCGCTCCCGGCCACCACAGCCTCGACCTGCTGGGCTCTGGCGATCCTTCCGACTCAGCCTTCCAAGTAGCTGGAACTACAGGCACACGCTACCATGCCCAGCTAATTTTTGATTTATTGTAGAGATGAGGTCTCGCCAAGTTGCCCAGGTGGGTCTCAAACCCGCGGGTTCAGTTTTGTTTTTGTTTTTTTAAAGACAGGGTCTCCCTCTGTCACCCAGGCTGGAGTGTAGTGGCACAATTCTGACTCACTGCAGCCTTGACCTCCTGGGCTCAAGTGATCTTTCTGCCTCAGCCACCTGAGTATCTGGGCTACAGGCGCCTGCCACCATGTCCTGCTGCATTTTGGTTTTGTTTGGTAGAGATGAGGTCTCACTATGTTGCCCAGGCTGGTCTCAAACTCCTGGGCTCAAACCATTCTCCCACCTTGGCTTCCCAAAGTGCTGCGATTACAGGCATAAGCCAAAGCATCCAGCCAAAGGGGAAATTTTTTATGGTTTCTGTTTTTTTTCCCCTCATAAATGGCCACTGCCCTCCACCCACTTTACCCAACTCTGTGGGTACTTTTCTAGGTTAGCGTCTGCCTGGGAGACAAGACACTTAGCTTCAGGACCTGTTTCTATAACCTTGTGTGGTGGGAAGTCTTCATTGAAATAGAAATGGTACAGATAATTAAGTATGTAAAAATTTAAAGGAGGATGGCATAGTTAGGGAAGACATATATGTTAACCAAGTGGGGCTTGAATTCGACGTTTGGAAGAAATGAGGGAGATTTCCAAGGCTCTTTGTCACTGGCCCTTGAGGATACTTACATATCTCCCCCGACACACACTTCTCCCTCTCAAGAAACTTGGCCTGTATTTTACAGCATTTGTTCTTTGCCAGCACGATGAACATCGTTAATTATCTGTTCATCTTAGGGAAAATCATGACTCCCTCGTGAGCTGCTTTTCATAAAATGTGGATTAGACAAGAGAAGTGTCACACTCTTCAATGGTTACATAACTGTTACACAATTGTTACTCTGTTGTTACACTGTTTCCCTGTGGCAGAGTTGGAGGGATAAAATAACTTGAAATTAGTGGGTTTTGGAAGCGAGCTGATTCTTAGATTGGAAAAATGTGGTTTCAATCTAAGAGCATTGATTCAATGAGAGCTGTTATGAATTAGCAGAAACAAAACCAAAATTTCTCTCATAAGGCTGTTTCTTTTTTGAAATGCTTAAAGTTATTTATTATTGAAGATTACAACTTGTCAGCTCGGGCTGCCATAACAAAATACTATAGACTGGGTGGCTTAAGCAACAAACATTGATTTCCTCATGGTTCTGGAATCTGGAAGTCTGGAAATCAGAGGGCCAGTGCAGTAGTTTCCCGTGTGGCTTTTTGTTTGGTTTTGTTTTTGTCGGAGTCTCACTCTGTCGTCCAGGCTAGAGTGCAATGGCACACTTACGAGCACCACAACCTTGACCTGCTGGGCTCAGGTGATCCTTCTGCCTCAGCCTTCCAAGTAGCTGGAACTATAGGCACACGCCACCACACCCAACTCTGGGTGGCCTTTCTTCCTGGCTAGTTGGTGGCCACCATCCTGCTATGTGCTCCCTTGATCTCTTATCCAAGTGTTGGCCTAGGTGGTAGCTCTGATCTTTCTTCTTATAAGGACACGAATGATCTCATTTGACCTTCATTCTCATTTGACCTATAGGTCCTATCTCCAAATACAGTCACATTGGGGGTGAGGGTTTCAACATATAACTTTAGGGGTGGAGACACAAGTCAGTCATTAAAACAACTACTGAATACTTAATTATTTATTTTTGAAATCAAAGGAAAGAAATGTCAGACAAGGTGCCCAGTAATAATGGCTCTGTGGCATGAGAAGTATATTTCCTTATCTCTAAAATGGGGGAAATACTGTCCACTAAGACCATGAGGGTGATTGTGATGACCAAATTTTAAAAAAAAAAGTGGATGTGGAACAATTTTAAATATATAGTGCATTAGATAAATGCACAGTAACTAAGGTGTCTGAGAGTGAGATCAGAATTTTGTTGTTGTTGGTTTTTTGTTTGTCTTGAGTCAGGGTCTCAGTCTGTCACCCAGGCTGGAGTGCAGTGGCAGGTCACACAGCTCACCCCAGCCTTGACCTCCTGGGCTCAGGCGATCTTTCTGCCTCAGCCTCTCGAGTAGCTGGGACTACAGGTGTGTGCCACCAGGTCCAGCTTTTTTTTTTTTTTTTTTTTTTTGCCTAAGCTGGCCTCCAACTCCTGGACTTAAGCAATTCTCAATGGCACACTTACTCTGCGGCTAAGAGCAGATTTTCGAAGGAGCGAGGGCAGAAGCACAGAGACCAGGTGTTAGCCAACAGCAGAAGTCAGGGTGGGAGATGGGGGAATGGGACCAGGGCATGGTGGGCAGGCTGGAAAGAAGCTGGGGGTGGTCTGGGTATTTGGAAGGCAGAGCCCACAGGGATTACTGTCGGATTGAAAAGGGGGTGTGAAAGTAGGAAGGATGACCCCATGGTTTGGGGGGAGGGGCGTCTGTTTAAAGTTTTAAAACAAAGTTTATTAGTGAGAAAAAGAGAAGAAGGAGAAAGGAAGATCCATGGCACAAAGACCTGCTGTGGACAAGTTTTTCCAAGAAGAAAAACTCGACCCCGTGGTGTTTAGCTTGAGCAACTGGGAAACACGGTGTTGCCATTTGCAGAGGAGGCAAAGATGGCAGAAAGGGCAGGTTTGGGGGTAAAAAGCAGAAATGGACATGCAAATTTTGAGATGCCAGTTGGTTATCCAAGGGGACATGAGTCTACGAACATAGGGACCTGGCGATCAGGAAGAGGCAGAGGCTGGAAAGGGCTTCCCAGAGCTTCCATGTGAGCAGTCCTTTCCACTCCCTCATGGGAGTGCTTTCTC